TGCTTCGTTCACGCGGCTACAAAAACCAAACCTACTGGAAAGAGTCCAGGGTCCGTTAGCAGCCAGGACCGAGGGCAGCCGTCAGGCAGCGTTTCCTGTCTCCAGGCTCTGCCCCTCAGCGTGGTCGCCTCACTCGTTTGAGCTACGCTGGCGCCTCTTGTTGCTGTCGGCTTTCGGTTTTGTGCTTATTTCTCTTCCCCATCCTTATTGATTTAAATTTATTTGTTTAATATATAGAACACTAATATGCTTTTAAAAGTCAAAATTCTACCGAAAGGTGATCTGAGAAAAGCGTCCCACACTGTGTTCCTTCCACAGACCCAGCCCTTGGGGGGAGCCAGCACTCTTGCTCCTGGTCCATCCTCCCTGTGTCGCTTTTTGTGAATTTTAACAGGTGTGTGTTTTCTTAATTCCCTTTAATACACAGGGGGTATCGACTATGTGTGTGCATTTTTGCATTTTGCTTTTTCTCGTGTTACCAGTACACGCTGGTGGTCGTATCTGGAAGTCTCCGGAGCGCTTCCTCACCCCTTTCTCCAGCCGGGGGCACTCCGTCATGTCCCACAGTTTACTCACCCGATTTCCTGTGGTTGGATATTTAGGTGGTTCTCACTATCTCCCAGCTGTAGATGATGCTGAGATGAATGATCTTGGGTGTGTGCACCTCTGTAGGAGTTCAGAGGAAGTTCCTGGTCTGTGCCACCTGGTTGGGCCTTGGCCCACCCGCCGCATGTGCTTGCAGCCTCTCATGGTCAGCAGTCAAGCCGAGGTTAGGGTCACACATGCCTGCACCATCTGAATGTGGGACATGCCTGTGTCCAGCCAGGGCCCCGGGCTGCCTCCTCCTTGTGCCCCCTGCTCCCTCCTTCATCTGTAATATAGTTCCTCAGTCTCTCTCCCTCTCTCTTTCTTGAGCCTCTTCCTTCCTCTGTGATTTGAGTCATACTGGGGACATTTGGAGTCGTTTCAAGACAACAGGTTGTCTTTTTTTCCCTTTGCGTTCAGCTGAGTGCCCCAGTGTGCTCGCCCCATCGAGGGTCTGTGCCTGGGGCCCAGCTCTGTCTCTGCTGGCGGCTTCAGGGGCAGAGGACCTCCCTGTAGGGGCCACTCTACCCCTGGGCCTTGGGGCTCACTACCCAGAGTCGGTGTGGAGGGGGCTCTGGCGGCTGGCATGGGGCTCCGGGCGGGAGGAGAAGATCTCACTGAAAATTCAAAGAAAATCAGCCTCATGAAATAACATGAAGTTTTTACCTGCTTCTAATTCTAAGTGACTTTTGAGTTGGTCTGAGGACAGAAGTCGAGGTGACTCCAGAACAAATTGCCACAAACTACGTGTCTTAAAATGACAGACATTTATTCTCTCGTAGTTCTGGAGGCCACAGATCCAAAATCAGTTCTGCGGGGCCAAAACTGAGGTGTGGGCAGGGCTGCGCTCCCTCCGGGGGGCTCTAGGGGAGGGTCCTTCCTGTCTCTTCTGGCATTTCCTGGCTGCCGGCGTTCCTTGGCTGTTGCCTGCGTTGCTCTAACCTCTGCCTCCATCATCACATGGCCCTCCCTCTGCGTGTCTCCCTGTGTCTCAAATCTCTCTCTGTCCTGCTGTTTTTTTCTTTTTGCTGAGGAAGATTTGCCCCGAGCTGACATCTGTTGCCAGTCTTCCTCTATTTTGTATGTGAGCTGTGCCACAGCTTGGCCACCGACGAGTGGTGTCGGTCTGCGCCTAGGAACCAAAGTGGTTCCCGCACCTGAGCTGCTGAAAGAGAGTGTGCTGAACTGAACCACTAGGCCACGGGGCTGGCCGCTGTCCTGCTCTTGTAAGGATACTTGTCCTTGGATTTCAGGCCCAGCTGGATAATCTAGATCTCCTCATTTCATGATACTTAATAACATCTGCATGGCACCTTTTCTAAATGAGATCACAGTCACAGAGTCCAGGGGTTCGGGTGTGGGCATGTCCTTTTGGGGCCACCATCCCGCCCACCACAGGGACGTGGATTGTGCATCCCCCTGGGTCACATGTCATCTGTTTGCGCTTTGCCTGATGAATGACAGTGTGGCGCTTCTGTTCCACGACAAACCTCGCTCGTAGTCCAGGTGTATTCCTTTGGCTTTTTGTATATTACTTGCTATTATAATTGAAAGTCTAAATGGGATAAATTCAGTGTATTTTGTTTTTTTTCTTTTCAGTTTGCGTCAACTCAAAGCCGGTTTGGCAGGAAAGGACGTTATAAAGTAACAGATCTGGGCTCAGCGCTAGTTCACTGGTAGGAGGAGCTCCGGCTGGGTGACTGTTACATAGTTACCGTTGCTCTGTGCGCATGCTCCCTGCACCTGACCTTCCCCTTAGAGTCGGGTGGGGGGGTTAGGGAGGTTATCACCTGCAGGTGTCACCCTGGCTGGTTGGGAGAGAGTGCACGCTAATAAATGGCAATTGGATTGCCACCAGGCGCTAATAGTCCCACTGAAGTCTTTGCGCAGGAGTGATCAATAAGCCACTAACCGTCTCTTGTTAGAGCTGTTAGAAACAAAAGTGAGGGAAAACAGATATTTGTGTGACTGACAGGTACTTCACAGGGGAGATAGCTGTATTGATTGAGAACGAAAAAACCAAAAGGAACTGTGAAAGTGGAAAATTAGGTATCGGAATCACCTAATTTAAAAAATTAAACCAGAAGGACTTGCACAAACAGTATGAAAACTTGGATACATATTTTGGTCCTGTAATAAACTTCTGGGTTTTCTAGACGACGACTATTTACAAAAGTATTCTAGATATTATTGAATCCTTATAGTGTTTTTAGTGGCCAGTTTTCCTAATACATTTATAATAATTTTATTTCTAAAAAGTGATGGATTTTAATCGTCTTTTTGTTGATATACTGTAGTTGCTCAGCAGCATTTTACACCGTCACCCAGTGAGCCGGGTGGGAAAAGGCAGACGTCGTCTTCGCTTTGACGGATGTGGAAAGTGGCACAGAGTCGCACGCTGAGGCTTCTTTGCTCGTCCTTAGTCCTTCCAAGATGTGGGTTTTTCCTCACTGAGTTGTCAGGGCCCTGAATCCCTGCTCATCCCCGTGACCTGGCAGAATGTGGCAGGAGCCGAACCTGTGATCTAAAATTTGGTTCCAGGAAAGGATCGGACCAGGCCCAGCTGAAGCTGGTTGTTTGAGGTCCAGTTACGATGGGGCCTCGGGAAAGAGAGATTAATTCAAAACCAGACACTGATTCTGGGTGTTTTATATGCCCGCGTGGATATAGAGGTTGTAACAGGAGGGGATATCCTCCGGCAGGAAACAGGCTGGGAAGACTGACTTGGATGAAATGCACACACTTTCTTTTCTTGTTGGGCACCGCTCACGCGTATACTCGGCTGTGGTTTAACCCCATCCACCATCCTGCCGTCTGCGCCGGAGTCCAGCCAGAGTCCTTTTATGTGCATGTGTGGAGACTTGCCTTGGACCCAAGTGCAGTCAAGTCATGGCCGTGACAATGGCACAGCAGCTCAGTGGGTCCAGCCAAATAAGCAGGGTCCGCGGGAGCCCCAGCCACACCGCGGGAACCATACCTCCTCAGTGGCTCCTGATGCATCGCGAGTCCACGGTTCCCCTGGCCTCCCCTCTCTTTGGGGAAGCTGCTCTTCACCACCATGGGCAGGGCCAGGGCTTCTGTTCCTCTCAGGAGTGTGAGGCCCCTCCTTGCAGGCTGTCCACCCTCCCTATGGCCAGGGCTGCCTGGGTTAGTGCACTTGGCTGGTGGTCAAGAGAGGTGGAGGGCCCTTGGCTCCCTCAGCTGCCCGGAGACAGTGAGGAGCCACCTGGTTCATTTGTTTTCCTTATAACAGAGATGTGCAGATGGCTCTCTCTTACCCATGAAGAGATCTTAGGACAAGAAGACCCTGCTCACATTCCATGTGACTGCCTACACCTCTTCCCACATTGCCGCAAGGCTAGGGATCTTGGGGCGAGGGGCACGGCTGCTGCCCCTGAGTCTGGCCCATTCCAGTCTGACTCTGGGTAGTGCAGCTGAACTCTGGGGGTGGGAAATGCTCTTCCCAGGTACCCAGTCTGACCTGGTGTCACCAAGTGCCCCCTGGATTCTGTGGCTTGAGAACTGGCCTTCCTGGGGTGCTGCTGTTACGGCGGTAGAGCCTGCCAGTCGGGGCCTCCGTCAGAGCCGGTGTCTCTGAGTTGCCTTCTCAAGGGTCCAGTCCCAGTCCCAGAGCCCAGCTGAGTGGCGTCTTGGTACCCAACCGAGGCCTGGAGTTGGGCTTCATTCTTACTGCTTTTTGAATGAAGGATGGAAGGGTTCCTTTAAAACGCTGCTGCGTCCAGCCCTGAAACCATATTTGTGAAATGACCTTGCAGTGTGGATGCTGATCCTAGGGTGTCCTTAGTGTCCTCATTCCTTTCGTTTGGCCAGTGACAGCGAAGGTGAAAAAGGAGCAGCACGTAAACTCGACCCCAGTGGTTTCACAGTTGCACATAAAGTCACATGGATAAATTACCCCATTACGAGCTGAAACTGCTGCAGAAACTGTGCTAATAACCCTAAATTGAATATCTGCCCATATTCTCTGCTGTTTCACACAGTTTCTTATCACTAACACGAAGGGTGGGTCCTGGTGTTTTCCTGATGGATTCAGGTAGATGTTGTCAGGGTGCTGAGTGTTTACAAACCTGCAGAGAGATCCTTATGGGATCAGGAGCCATGAAGACGGCGTTGGTCTTTAGGAGGGAAGCCGCAAAGGAGACTCGGGGTGGGAGGGGTCTTAGTTAGGAGGGTGGGGTCTCAGGATGGGAGGCTGGCCTCCTGGCACTCTGTGCCACCCATGTGGTGTTGTGTCCTGCTCCTGCCTCCATTCCTGCTTTGGTAAAATGGAACGGGTGATCCCCTGCCTTATACACTGCTCTCTAGTTCAAGTTTACCTGAAAGCACCGTGATGTTCCTGACCCAGGCGGGTGTTCGGATAACTCATGCACCGATGTGCTTTGTTTCCCTTCCAGGCAGCTTCCCTCACCTCTTTGTCCAGCTTGGCATGTATGCACCTGGTTCGCTGGGCTATTTGGAACCCCGTCCTGGAAGCCAGCTCTGGGAGGGTGACGTTACCCCTACAGGGTGGGATCCAGCCCAACCCCTCGCACCGCCTGGTCTATAAGGTACCCCCAGCCAGCATGAGCTCCGAAGAGGTAAATTCTTAGACACTTCGTAAGTATGATTCTTTTCCTGTGAGCTTCTAGCAAGTTCATATATTTTCAAAACCAGAAGTTGACAAATGTTTGCAGATGTTTCATGAGCAGAGTTTTTTCCTGTCATGAATATGCCCTTAAAAATTGTGTCATTGCTGAGTCACAGTTGGCTGTGGCCTCCCTGAGGCCAGTTTTCATCTTGGGTCTCACAGCATCCCCGTTCACATGTCAGTCTCTTGGGGTGACCTGCTGGGCCTGTGACTCTTATTTGTACACACTTTGCAACAAGATCGACTTCTGTGCTGTACGAGTCTTTTTAAAAAGGGCCTTTGAAATGTTTGGTGCATTGGAGGATGGGCCTGTGTGGGACGAGTGCTGTAGTGGGAGCCAGGTGGTCGGTGTCAAGCCCTGGCTCGTCTTTGCGACTTGTCACTCACGCCCGCTGGACCTCGGCTCTCTCCAGCTGTGTACAGAGGGTGGGATTACAGCAGGATTTCCACTTTTGAAATGAAGCTTTCTCTGCACCCCAGTGTATAAAAGTGGGGCAGGGCGAGTTGAAGTGTGTGTGAGGGTCTCATTCCCTGGCCTCCCCTGGCCCCTTGGTGGGCTTGCAGAATGGGTAATCATGACCCAGGGTGCCCCTGACACCATGTGACAGTCCTTCCTGACACTAATGTGTCGGGGCGGGGTTTCTGTCTGGTACATCATTTGGTTCTTCTGCTTCCATCCCTGAAAAATGCCCAGCCTTTGTCAGCAGTGCAAATAGGAACCTTTTAGGACTCAATTGTCCCATTTTTCTTAGGTAAGGGGACTATACCTGTCACTTCAGAATGTCACCTGTGTGCTGACTCCAGCGACAAACCTTATTTTCAGTGTTGTTATTTATGATTCAGAGACTGCTTTGGGGACCTGAATAAGGGAACAGCTGATTGTGCAGCTTTCCTTATCATAAGGAATGTCTCTCATTATGGGACCACATTTTGCTGCATTCCCACACGGTCTAGTTTGAGCCCTTATTATCAAATTGCCATTAGAAATGCTGAAGCCTTTGCCATTCTCTCCTCATTCATGATCTCTCTCTGTCTGTCTGTATGAATATAAATAAATATTTATTTTATTTAATGTTACCCTTCTTATGCCACGGCATTTCCTTTACTCTTAAAGTGTGTAAACTATATTGGGGTATATTAAGAACACAAATATATCAAATACCACCATTTTTTCACAAGGAATATCACTTCTAATCAGAGTTTCTCAGCCTCAGCACTGTTGAGGTTTTGGGCCAGATGATTCTTTAATGTGAGGTTGTCCTGGGCGTTGGCGGATCGTCAGCACCTGCCCTGGCCTCTCCCCACGAGATGCCAGTATCATCCTCCCAATTGTGACAGCCGCAAATGTCTGCTGGCGACAACATTGCCCTTAGTTGAGGCCCACTGCTCTGAACAGATGTAATTAACTGAAATCATGAACGGAGACTCACAAACTCGCTTCGCTCCCCTGCCTTCTAGGAGCGCTCCTCTGCTTCTTCCTCTCTTTCTTATCTTATAAGCAGTGCAGCACCTGGCGAGTGAGAGAGCGCGGAGCCCTAGGCCTGCCTCTTCTCTGCCCCCAGGCCAGTTAATTCTGGATCCTATTCATTCATTCAGTGAATTGTTATTGAGCATGTATATATGCTATAGGAAAAATATCCTCGATCCCATGGAACTTACAGTTGAGTGGGAATGGCAGATATTAATCAAAGAAAAATATAAATGTTATAAACATCCCATAATTTTTGGCTAAGTAAATTTTGGGGTTTATTTTATGATTATTTCCATGTTGTTTACTGTGAAGGTAAGTAGTATATTATGATTATGTTTTCTTTCCTAAACAACTCCTGTATTTTTCCCTTGAGCAAATAATTGTATTTTTTAAAAAAAATTTATAGCTCCAGAGGCACACTTTCAACTCTTAGCTGTGACTTATGGTATTTACTTTGTTTTCCAGATATTATGCTTCTACTACTATTTCTTGGTTTATAAATTTTAGACATCATATATTGACTTCCAGTAATGATAGATGAGAACTTTAGCTCTTTAATATACTCTTGCACTTCTTAAAAGAAAAAACAGGGGGCCGGCCCCGTGGCCGAGTGGTTAAGTTTGTGCGCTCTGCTTTGGCGGCCCAGGGTTTCGCCAGTTTGGATCCTGGGCGCGGACATGGCACCGCTCATCAAGCCATGCTGAGACGGCGTCCCACATGCCACAACTAGAAGGACCCACAACTAAAAATACACAACTGTGTACCAGGGGTCTTTGGGGAGAAAAAAGAAAAATAGAAACAAAACAAAACAAAAAACGCTCTGTCCTCCCACTGCTTGGCTTTGGATTTAGGTGCTGTTGCCGGAGACGTGCAGCACAGCAGGGCCTGGCCGCAGGATTGTGAAGGGAGCCACAGGGAACTGGAAAGTACCAGAGAGGTTGTGGAGAGGGAGGGGCTGAGAAAGCAACCCCATAAAGTTGTTTAAGAAATGCTGGGTTGACCCCCAAGCTGCGCATGCCTGAGTCTGAGCCTAAACAGCATACTTGGAGAACTGAACTGTGGGTAGATCACCACCCAGGCACGGAGTTGCCGGCCGGGTGGATCACTTGTGGAGAGATCCAGACAGCACTGCACAGGCTTTGAGAACGGAACTGGCATTGAAGCCACAACCCACGGAAGGCTGGTTGGAAACTGTGGCCTGAACCCAACTGGGTTGATTCCAGACTAAACGGAAATATCAACATTCTCCATTGAATTTAAATGAGACTCACAGTCTTTGAATGTTCATCAAAATGTTCTTGATACAATCCAAACTTAATTGACATTCAAAGAACCAGGGAAATTTCACCTTACAGGGAAAAGACGTTCAACACACAGCAACACTGAGATGACACAAATTTTGGAATTGTCAAAGACTTTAAAGCAGGCATTATAAAAATGCTCCAGTAAATAAGAGTGAACACTTTTGAAACGAATGGAAAGCTAGAAAGTCTTAGCAAAGAGATAGAAGATTAAAAAGAAGCAAATGGAAATTTTAGGACGGAAAAATAACCAAAATAAAAATAAACTAGATGGGCTTAATAGCAGAAGGGAGATGACAGAAGAATCAGTGGACTTGAAGATAGATCAATAGAATTTATCCACCCTGAACCACAGAGAGAAAAATGATCGGGAGGCAGTGGGTGAAGCCTCAGGGACCTTGGGATAGTACCACAAAGGCTAACACTTGTGTCATCAGAGTCCCAGCAGAGGAGAGAGAGTACAGTGCAGAAAAAATATTTGAAGAAATAATGGCTGAAAACTTCCCAAATTTGTCAAAAGACATAAACCTACAGATTGAAGAAGTTCAGTGAACCCCAGAGACAAATGCAAAGAAATCCATACTCAGACAAATCACAAACTGCTGACAAATAGAGACAAAGACAGAGGCTTGAAAACGGCGATAGAAAAGTGCTGCCTTACTTCTAGGGGAGCAGTGATTCGAGTATTTTCCTCAGCAGAAACCATGGAGGCTGGAAGGAAGTGGAACAACATTTGATAAGCACTAACAGGAAGACCCCAGAACTCAGACTTCTCTCCCCAGCAAAAGTCATGCAGGAATGAAGGTGAAATAAAGACATTCTCAGACGAACTAAAACTAAGAGAATTCATTGGCAGTAGATATGCTCTAAAAGAATTGCTAAAGGAGTTTCTTCAGACAGAAGAGAAATGATACCAGATGGAGACTTGGTGTATCAGGAATGAAAAAAGAGCAACAGAAATGAAAAATATGATAAAATATTCTCCTCCTCTTGAGTTCTTTAAAATATGTTTGGTGGTTGAAGCAGAAATTAGGACCGTGATAGGATTTTTAAGGTATGTAGACATAATAGGTAAGACAGCAATAAGACAGAGAGGGAAGGTAGAGAGGCCTATATGGTGTCCTGGTTTCTCCAGTCCACTTGAAAGAATGAAACTTCAATTCTGAGTAGACTGTGACAAGCTAAATATTTACGTTGTAAATGCAAGCAGAATCACTCAAAATGAGATACAAACAGATAGTAAAAAACCTAGTAGATAGATAAAATGGAATTTATTCAAAAGAAGGCAGAAAGAAAAACAGGAATGAAAAACAGAAGGAACAAATAGTAAAATGATAGTCCTGATCCCAAACATACCAGTAATTAAATAATGAAGATAGTCTCAGCACGCCAGTTGAAGGATGGAAATTGTCAGGTTGCACAAAAAATCAAGGTCCAACTGTATGCTGTCTACCAGGAACTCCCTTCATGATGTAATGATGTGGGCAGGTTAAAAGTAACAGGAGGGGAAACATTCCCTGCGAACACCAATCAAAAGAAAACTGGAGTAGCTGTATTCATACCAGACACGTAGATTGGGGAGCAGAGGAAATTTCCCTGAATTAAGAGGGATATTACATATGGTGAAAGAGTCAATTCACCAAGAAGACATACAATCCTAAAAGTATATGCATATAACAGAGTTTTAAAGTGCATAAAGCAGCACTAATAGAGCTGGAAGGAGAAACAGACAAATTCATAGTTCTAGTTGGAGACTTCAACATTCCTCCCAGAGTAAACTATGGAACACATAGATGGAAAATCACCAAGGTTATGGAAGAACTGAACATCCGCATCAACCACCTGGATGTAAGTGACGTTTGTAGAGCAGTCCACCCAGCAGAGCAGAACGCACGCTCTCCTCAAGTGCACATGGAACGCCCACCAAGATAGACCGCATCCTGCGTCATAACACAAACTTTAATAATTTTAAAAGAATTGAAATTATACAGGGTATATTCTGTGATCACAATGGAGTTAAACTAGAAATCAACAACCAAGATGACATAAAAAGTTAGAAGTACTTGGAAATTAAACAATACATTTCTAAATAATCTGTAAGTCAAAGAGGAAGCCTCAAGAAAAAAATAAAAGATATTTTGAACTGAATATACAACATATCAGGATTTGTAGGATGCAGCTAAAGTGGGCTTACATGGAAATTTATCGGGTTAAGTGCTTATGTTAGAAAAGAAAAAAGGTCTCAAATCAGTAATCTAATCTTCCTTTAGAAACTAGAAAAAAGAAGCGCAAAATAAACCTAAAGCAAGCAGAAGAAAGTCAATAATAAAGATAAGAGGAGAAAACAGTGAAATTTAAAACAAAAACAGTAGAGGAAAAAAATAGAGAAAACCAATGAAACCAAAAACTGATTCTTTGAAAAGATCAATAAAATTGACAAACCTCTAGCAAGACAGAAAAAGGAAAAAGAAAAGACACATTACTACTACTCGAATGAAAGAAGGGTTGTCACTACAGGCCACAAGGTCAAAGGGACAGTAAGAGAATACTATGAATAACTCTGTGTTCATAAATTTGACAGTTTAGATGAAATGAATCAATTCATCCTAAACAACAAACTATCAAAACTCATCCAAGATGAAGTAGATAACCTGAGTAGTTTACTTCTATAATTATTAGACAAATTGAATTCATAATTAAAAAACTTTTGAAAAAGAAATATCCAGCCCTATTCACTGTGAATTCTACTAAATATTTAAAGAGGAAATGATACCAATTTTATACAGTCTATTCTAGGAAATAGAAGAGATGGGAACAATTCCTAGTTCATGTCATGAGGTCTGTATTACTGATATCAAACCAAAAGAAGACAGTATGAGAAAAGTAAACCGTGGACACATATCCCTCAAGAACACAGATGTAAAACAAAATATCAGCAAAATATTAGCAAGTTGAATCCAACAATATGGAAAAAAAATACACCATGACCAAGTGGGAGTTTCTCCTCGGAATACAAGTCTGTTTTCTTTTTGAAAATCAAGAAATGTAATACATTGTAGTAATAGCCTAAAGAAGGAAAACTCTAGGATCATAGCAATTGATGCAGAAAAAGCATTTGACAAAATTCAGCATCCATTTATGATAAAAACTCTGAGCAAACTAGGAACAGAAGAGAACTTCCTCAGTCTGATCAAGGCCGTCTACAAAAACCCTTTAGTTAACATCATACTTAACGGTGAAGGATTGGATGCTTTCCCCCTAAGATCAGGAACAAGTGAAGGATGTCTGCTTACAGCATTCATAATCTCGTTCAGCATTGTCCTGGAAGTCCTAGGCAATGCAGTGAGGCAAGAAGACAACAGGAAACACATGCAGATTGGAAACGAAGAATCAAAACTGTCCTTATTTTCAGACAACATGATTGTCTACGTGGAAAATCCCAAGAGATCTACAAAAGAACTCCTAGAATAAATAAGTGAGTTTATTGAGGTTGCAGGAGACAACAGGAGGTCAAGATAGAAATTCCATCGTATTTCTATATACTAGCAATGAAAAGTTGGAAAGTAAAGTTTGAAAAAACAGTATTTATTTACAAAGCCCTCCCCTCAATGAAATAAATCTAACAAAATATGTACAGGATCTGAATACTGAAAACCATGAAACATTCCTTCTGCTGCATGTCATTATTCTCATTGTGGTTACTCTTAGGTGAAATCAAAGAAGACCTAAATAAATGGAGAGACATAACGTCTTTATGGATTGGAAACCTCAACATATAAAGATATAAGTTCTCCCCTAGTTGATCTATAGAAGATGCAATTTCAAGTGAAATCCCAGCAGGATTTTTTTGGTAAATATAGGCAAGCCGATTCTAAAATTTTTATAGAAAGGCAAAAGAATTAGAAGAATCAAAACAATTTTCAAAAGAAAAGTTAGAGGAATCATAATACACAATTTGAAGACTTACAATAAAGCTACGATGATCAATATAAAGTGCTGTGGTGAAGGAACTGACACATAGACGCATTGAACAGAGTAGAGTCCAGAGGTAAATCACAGTTGGGCAGTTTCCTAAGACACTTACCCCATGACTCAGCAATCCTGTTCTTAGAGAGATGAAACTTACGTTCACACAGAAGTATGCACAGCAGTGTTTGTAGCAGCTCTGTGTGTAATCGCCCAAGCTGGAAACAGCCCAGATGTTCTTAAATGAGTAAATGGATAAATAAACTGTGGTCTGTCAAACAGTAGAATACTACTCAGCAGTAAAAAGGAGCAAATAATAATAGATAGAATGACTTGGAGGAGTCTCATCAGTATTGTGTTGAGTGAGAAAAGCCAGTCTCAAAAGTTAGATACCATGTGATTCCACTTATGTGACGTCTATCAAGACCAGACCACGTGATGGAGCCGCTGGGGGACTGTGGCGGTCGGGGGGGGCAGGATGGGGTACGAAGGGCAGCACCAGGGAGTGTTTGGCTGACGGAGCTGCTCTGTACGCTGATTGTGGTGGTTACACGTGTTGAAACTCATAGAAATGTATTCCAAACTTTAAGAAGTCAATTTTACGTGTTAATTAAAAACATTCAAAGCCGGAGAAAAGTTTGATTGCTACTTGCATAAGGGTCATTCTGTGATAATGTGGTCTTCTGGGATTTTAGTGTCACAGTCAATTGTTTTCTGCTCAGAAAAGTACTTGATTATCATCTCAGAACACATGGCTTCAGAGATCCTTGATTTTGCCTAGTCTTTGAGGGCTAGGCGAATTGTTCCTGCTTGAATTATTCTAACCAAAGGATGCTGATGAAGAGAGCGTGGCCGTCATTGCTTGTGTTATGATCTACTGTAGGTGAAGCAGGTGGAGTCGGGGACCGTCCAGTTCCAGTACTCGCTGAGCCCAGAAGGACTCCTGGACACATCCACAGGGCACGACAGTGGCCCCAAGGCAGAGCAGAGGCCCTCCAGGAAGCCATCCACGTCCCCTTCAAGTAAGTGTTTGCAGAGAGCTGACTTTTCAGGCACACAGCATGACTTCCCTCTGTTCCCGAGGGACTTTGTCCAGTACAATACCGTTTATCAGATTGTTATCAAAGATTATCGTAGATCATCATAGATATAATCATTATCATAGATTATTAAATGGTGGCCATAGATTGCTTTAATTTGAATCAGTTGGTTGAATTTTTCCTTAATATAGAGGTGTAGAATTGAACAGTGATCAGGTGTGGCCCAGCAGTTGTCACCTCTGCTTCAGCCACGAATCAGCTCAGTTACTTGCAGTCCCCTGACGGAGGGCCTGTGGAAGGTCTGTTGGTGACGCCTAAAAGGGCGCTTCATGTGGGTGTCCTGCAGACACGGGGCTTGCAGATTAGAGGTTGGCTGGAAGCTGTGGACTGCCAGTTCTATTTTGCACTGTTAGTATAGCCGTGAGTTTGTCATTTTTAAAAAGTGCTTTCTGCTCCCTTGAAGCTCTGCCATAGTGGAGAGTCTGTGATCTCAGATGCAGGTTTAAGAAAGGGAGCCAGGGCTACCAGGAAAGTGACGTCCTTCCCGTGGGTGATGCTGTGCCTGCATGAGTGTAGCTGGCCGAGGAGTGATGGAGGCCTTCGGCTTCGTGTTTGGCTGGCCCAGCGCCTTCTGCTGTGGCTGACACCTTGTGTTCAGGGCCCTTAGTTTATGCCTAAGGACCCCCAAGCTGGCGTCCTGATTGAGAATTCCACCTGTGGTGAAAGAGGAGCGGAAGTTAGCAGGGAGTGTTGGAGAAGTTCACCCTGAGTGAGCATTGAGTCCTTGGCTCTTCTAGAGATCTCTCCTGCTGAAAGAATGTTCTAGATCACAGGTGGTTAGTCTCTTAGAAAGTTAGAAAGACAGGGAATGAACAAATGTGCAAGCTGGTAGAGGGGAGCGTAGTCTTCATCCGTCCTGTGATGGCTTTCCTCTCGGGTGCTGCTCAGGTCTCCAGGGAGGACTGGCCACTGTCTCTCGGCTGCAGGGCCTGGTGCTGGTGCACAGGTGCAAGCGAGCCTGTCATTTGGCAGTGATTTTTATGAGTTGAGATTGTAGTTTATGGAAACTGGCCTTGTTGCGTTTAATTTTACAGTTGGTGGAAGCAGCACACTTATTTCTTTGGCCTGGAACTCGATGTGCTGGCCTCCGTCTTCATGGTCTTCCAGGATTTTCTGAGATATCTAAAAATACTCAGGTACCCAAATTTAATAGCTGATTGTGGGACAAACCACATCATTAAGTATTTTCCTTCTTTTCAAAAGGGCAGTACATTTGATGGTTTTAATTGTTTTGTTCTTTCAGTTTTTGAATATTGTGCGTACCGGATTGTTCTCACGATTCCTCTTTGCCACTAATGTGTACATTAATAATCACGTCTTATGTAAGTGGTTTTGAAATGTACAGCACCACTTGTACTTGAGAAATTGCCAGAGTATCTGCTAGAATCCCTCGCAGTGCTGCGTGGTAGGCATGTATTTTCTGTCAGAGTCAGTTTAGAATAAATTTCCAGTTTTAGTTGGTAAAGTTAAATGTGTTGAAGGCATAGAATATATAATTTAAAAATACTAAACAAAAGGGGCCGGCCCTGTGGCCAAGTGGTTAAGTTCACTCCCTCTGCTTCGGCTGTCCAGGGTTTTGCTGATTCTCATTCTGGGTGTGGACCTAGCACTACTCGTCAAGCCATGCTGAGACGGTGTCCCATGTAGCAGAACCGGAAGGACCTACAACTAGAATATACAACTGTGTACTGGGGAGCTTTAAGGAGAGGGGAAAAAGAAGAAAAAGATTGGCAACAGATGTTAGCTCAGGGCCAATCTTTAAAAATAAAAAAACTAAACAAAGGATCACATTTATATCTAACCCATTCCCTGTTTTAAATCTAGTGTTTTCTTCTTTGACATATATTCATAATTACATTTTAAAAATAAAACAAATACCAACCTGTAAGAAACATAAATATAGGAAAGAAAGATAATATCATTGATTATAAAAATAGGCATATTTTGTGGTTAAAATCAAACATGATTAATCTGGTTTTTGATTAAGTTACTTGAAAGGACAATAGTGAAATGTAATAAACATTGTTTACCTGTGTCCGTAGAAATGCCAGAATAGATCATTTCCCTAGAGAATAGACTTGTACAGCTAGCGTTAAGGGAAAAATGGAATTACCTTTTCTGGAGTGGAATTTTCAGGTGTCTGATTTATGACGTAGTTACAGTGCTGGCAGCAAGCAGCTGGTTGGGCTTGAAGCCCTCTGATTGATTGGTTGTAAACTGATGGCAGGACCTACCGTCGGCTTCTCCTGGCTGGGCTGTGGGCTCTGGTTTTGCTGTCCTGGTTGCCCTGTTTTCATGAGGGGATTTGTGGAGATTTAAAACGTAGTCTGCTGCTGTCTGGATTTGCCAGAATTGTCCTTCAACTGATTTTTTGCTTGGAGTTCATTGAGCTTGGATCTCTGGGTTTATAGTTTTATCACAGTTGGAAAAATTGTGGTCATTATTTCTTCAAATAATTTCTTCTGTCTTCTTCTCACTCTTCTCCTTCAGGGCCCCAATTACACATCTATCAGTGGTCCCACAGCTCACTGATGTTCTGTTCCCTTTCATTCTAGTCTTTTCTCTCTGTGTTCCATTCTGGATAGCTTTTATTGCTGTGTCTTCAGTCCACTCATCTTTTCTTCTGCAGTGTCTGATCTGCCATTAACCCCATCCAATGTATTTTTCACCTCAGATACTGTAGTTTTCATTTCCAGAAGTTCTCTTTTATGTCTTCCATGTCTTGACTTAACACGTTCAGTATTTCCTCTAGCTTTTTGAACATATGAAATACAGTTACAACTATTTTAATATCCTTGTTTGCTAGTTCTAATATCTCTATCAGTTCTGGATCAGTTTTGATTGATTGATTTTTGTCCTAATTTTGGTTATATTTTCTTGCTTCTTTGCATGTATGGCATTTTTTTTTTTCTTGAGGAAGTTTAGCTCTGAGCTAACATCTGTTGCCAATCTTCTTCTTTTTTTTTTTTTGCTTGAGGAACATTATCCCTGAGTTATCATCTGTGCTGGTCTCCCTCTACTTTATATGTTGGTCACCACCACAGTGTGGCTGATGAGTGGTATAGGTCTGCGCCTGGCCTGGGATCTGAACTCGCACACCCAGGCCACAGAAGCGGAGCGCCGGACTTAACCACTATGCCATGGGGCTGGCCCCCATGCCTAGTAATTTTTGCTTGGAATCCAAATACTGTGAATTTTCTCCTATTGGGGGCTGAACGTTTCTGTGCTGGGTGAATGCTCTGGAGCTTTGGAGACAGTTTGACCCTTTTGGGTCTTGCCCTTAGATGTTAGGTGGGGCCGGAGCAGCATTCTTTCTAGGACTAATTATTCTCCACTTGGTGAGAAGACCCCTTGGAGTACCCTCCCAGTGTCCCTGAATTAGGATGTTTGCCAGTCTGGCCTATGGAATGGCCTCTTTCTGGCTATCTGAGCACTGGCTGCTGTGCAGTGGTTCTTTCCTGATCAGTCATCTGAAGCCTGCAGGGACCCTCTGTGAGTGACTGGAGTTCTTTCCCTCTGCACCTCATCCTGCCAGAGCTCGGCCCTGTGAACTCCAGCTTCGTTGGTCTCCTTGAACTCCCAGCTCTGTCTTCTCAAATCAGGGGTCCACTGTGCTCTGTCTGGGTTTCCCTCCCTGCTCCTCGACCTGCTGACTCACTAAGCACTGTGAGCCATGGCACTCAGAGGGCTCGCCTCTCTTGTTGCCCATTCCTCAGGACTGCTCTCCTTTGTTGCCTGAATTCCAGTGTCTTGAAAACTGTTGTTTTATATATTTTGTTGGATTTAAAACAATTTGTTTGAGTTGGGAGGGTAAATTTGGTCAGTGTTACTCCATCATGGCCAGCAGTAAAAGTCTTTGCTAGCTGTTAATGGTTTCTAGGCTGTTGAAGTCGTCTGCTCCCAGGGCTCAGAGTCCAGTGGTTTTGAAAGTTTTCCCAGCTGTTTTGTGCGACTTGTGGTTTGATGATCCTGCCGCTGTTTTCATGACTCTGAGTCTTGGCTCATGCTCCCTGCCTGGAATGTATCTCCCTTGGGCACTGCATTTATTTTCTTTTAAGATATATTCTTTTTTTTAATTAAAGAAATTACATAGTCCAGAATAGCCAAGGCAATTTTGAAGAAGAAAAGAGGCTTCACCTTTCTTGATTTGCAGACTTACTGTAAATTTATAGTAATAGAACAGGATGGCATTGGTGCAGAGATAGAGAAATAGATGATAGGACAAAATAAAAAGTGTGATGTATGACAAATTACAGATAAGGAGTGTATTAGTTTCCTATTATTATTATAATCAATTACCCAAAATGTAGTGGCTTAAAACAGCACAAACTTACTTACAGTTCTACAGGTCAGAAGTCCAGCATGGGTCTCACTGGCTAAAATCAAGGTGTGGGCAGGGCCGGTTCCTTCTGCAGGCTCTGGGGGAGAATGTGTTTCCTCACCTTTCCCAGCTCCTGGCGGCCACCTGCATCCTTTGGCCCCTTCCTCCATCTTCAAAAGTAGCATTTTCAAGTCTCTCTGACTGATCCTCCTGCCTTCCTGTCGCTTATAAGGACTGTGATTGCGTTGGGCCCACACACGTCACCCAGGATACTCTCCCCATCTCAAGGTCAGCTGACTAGCAACCTTTAGTTTCATCTGCAACCTTAATTCCCCTGGTAGTGTAACCACACATTTACAGGCTCTGCGGATTAGGAGGTGGACATTTTTTGGGGTGGGGAACATTGTTCTGCTGACTACAGGGAGGAAGGATGGACCAATCAACTAACAGTTCTGGAAGGGCTGTCCGTGTGGAAAATACAAAATCAGATCCTAATTTCGTATCATGTACAAAAATAAATTCCAGATGGGTTACAAAACAAACCCAGAACTTTCAGAAAATTTTAGAATTAGAAGATTAGAAAGAAGAAAGATTATAGAAA